TGCCGTTAAACAAACAAATTAAATCAAGGCACCCAAGAAAATTAATTTTCGGCATCCCATAACGAGTTAAACAAACAAACCTTTGCCAAATGAATTTTGCATAATATTTTCAAACAGAAAACGTTTCTATGAACCAGTACATGATTTAGAATTTTATCTGTTAACATTTCGACGCATATGTGAAGTTTTTATTATCCTAGTCATGTCTCAAGTGGCTTAAAAATGAGAAGGTAAACAGGATAAATAATTTGAAGAGGTATCAACCCACAAGATGCCGTAGTTCTGTAGAAGAAGCTTTTATTCTAGCAAGGCAACAAAAATGTGTATATTCGTCCCAATGGAAAAGTATGGCGGGTCTAAGCTACAAAGCCCAGGTCTGATATTTAATGAATGTAATACATCCATTTTTTTATCTGAAAAAAAAATAATTTATCACCCACAATGGCCGTAAATTCTAAAGAGCATTGTATCAACTTTACAGATATGTCAACAATAGAAAAGAAAAAAAAAAGAGGGAGAAGAACTTATTGGAACTGTACAAGGCTTCTAACATTTTTCCTCTTTGTACTCCTGGCAATTTCTTAAATATCTCTTTCCTTCAAAGTTTAGAATAAATTATGAAAAGGTATTCAATAATGTTTGGCTGTAGTGCGATACTCCACACATCTACAAATGTAGCTCGCTAACCACTTCTCTGGATGATGGATTTTGTCTTAGCTTATAAAACGCCTGGCGACAGGAGTCTGGACATACACCACTCAGACAAACATCAGAAAAAAGATGCATTATTATTTGTTGGACAACTGGAGGAAGTTCTACAAGATGTTCACCCAGTTAAAAAATATTTTAAAATATATATTTATCACTTTTAGTTGTATTTGTTCCTGCGATCCGATAACATAGTGTTCTCGACATGATTTTCAAAACAACGCGAGGTCTTCAAAACAGCCCGAGATCTTCAAAATAGTCTATAGGAATATCGATTCTATAGTCCTTTATAGATTCTAAACAAAACGAAATAAAACTAATTTTTATGAAAATGTCAAAATATATTAATTACAGAAGAATTTAATTGATCTGTTTAAATTTTCAAGTTGCAAGCAGCGGATAAACATTGTATAAATTTCAACGAAATCAGAAACATTTCTGGTAATTTTTTTCATTCACGTCAAGTCGAGAGGTTGTCTGACAATTTCCTTCCGTCTTTGACAGAATGAGAGGATAAAAAACAAAATAAATGTTGGGAAGAGAGAAATTTAAAAAAAAAATCAAATCAACCCTAATTTGACTGAGTACAAACAACTTGCATTGCCAAAAAGCGTTCAGAATACAAGTGGTATACTTCGTGATGTTGGTGATAATAGCTCTCCAAACTCTCTGTCTTTTGTTACTCTATGAAGCTTCTGACCCTTTACCATCTCTATTTGTCCCTTGTACTCCCCAATACATTCACACGAAATAAATGATTACTCACTGTCTCCCTTGCTTGCTTTGCTTTCACTATCTTTTTAAACCTTACCTTCGACTGACTCCCTTTCGTCTTTATGTGTTTCAGAAATTGTCTCGTTCTGATTGTAAGTATACGTTTCTTTGTTGTTCATATTTCCATTACGTTTTCCTCGTGTTCAACCTACAGTATTCTTTGTAATTATCTTTAATTTGTGAGATTATTTAACTTTCCCTTCCATATAGGAGATAACATATGAAATAGAATAGTATTATTTTCGTAGTATCAGATATGTTCCTATTTTTGTAAGACTTTACTTATATTCTGAGATATATATATATTCCGTTATTTTGATATATTCTGATCATTCTTGATTATTGTGATATATATATATATATATATATATATATATATATATATATATATATCCAAAACTGGAAATTCAAAGATAATAAAAAATGCATTCGAGAAATCCATGGATGTCGATAGAAAAATGTTAAGACAGAAAATATTTACACACATATTTATATATAGGATATATATATATATATATATATATATATATATATATATATATATATATATATATATATATATATATTACGTTATTCTGATATATTCTCATCATTCGTTATCTGATTTATTCCTGATATATTCTTTTATATTCATTATATATATATATATATATATATATATATATATATAATATTTTTTGTTTAAAACACGATTCCTTCCATAAGAATTTCTAAAAAAACAAAACGAGAGCTGAAACCATCCAAATAATTATTAAAATTAAGTTGAATTGAGGTGTTTAGTCCCTTTTCATCTTCAAGCGAAATTTTTAGGAATAAGCTATCTCTTGGTTTACGTGTGTTTTTAGGCATGGCCCGTTACAAAATTCGTTATTGTAGGAGTGGCTAGACTATTTTTGTATATAAAACACCCGCTTGAATAAACAAATAAATAGATAGATAATCAGATGGACAATAATAAAACGCAATCCTCCCGACACATAACGACTTGTAGGCGCGCCATAAAAATATCCCTCACTGGGAACCAACTAAAGGGTGACCGCAAACATTAGCCTTGATATAGATACCCTACCCAACCTTAGCAAAACCTCTCAGAAGATGATGAATCTATTGAATATATATATATATATATATATATATATTCCTATGTGACTTATTCTGTCTTATATTTTCTATCGTAAATGGAAGATAAAAGTATGATGTTTTTTTAATACGTTGTCCCTTTGAGATGTGGGCATCCATGGCATTCTACGAAAGCATTTTTTTTTATTATCTTTGAATTTCCAGTTGTCTTTTCTATGATTTTGACTTCATAGTTGTTTGTCTAATTGAGTGGTTGTTGATATATTTATATAATGAATACGAATATCCCTGAGTCACCCTTTTTCAATATAACTCCTCGAGGCCGTAGCCCAACATATCATACCATTTTGAAACCAGGTCGACTCCGTGAGCAAATTAAAAACAACCTGGGCCGGTTCCTAATTGGCGAACCTTAAATTTTGGATTCCCAAGTTTTCATTATTGCGAAATACACTAACGGTACTAGGTATCGCCAACCGTTGTTTCTTCTTCCTTTTTTAATCATTTCAACCCAAGCAAGGTTGGAATGCCACTAATACGCAGGGTGTTGCAAGGAGTGACAGCGAAAGAGAACACTGAGAAGATGGCGATTGACGTTGCATTTAAATTTTTGAAGATTGTAGTTATTAGGGAAACAAGTAAACGGAAGGGGTTTCTACGGGTGGGAATTGCAAGAAAAGAAACGCTTGTGGGTAGAACTGACGGTTGCATTTAGCTACTTCAACAGTAAATGGGTGGGTCCGAGATGCCAATCTAGTAGCACGCTTGAATGAATGTAGTCGGGCCACCAGGGGGGGGACTTGTCAGAGCAGTTCCCATGAAAATACAGGGTGCGATAGATAAATTGTCGTCTAAATGACACCAAAATGAAAATAACACTGGCATCTCATTTTAACAGATATATTTACCAAAATTATACAAAAACATCTTGAAATATTAAGGAGTAAATTTATTCGCTATAATCGCCATTGGCTTCAAACCACAGCCTTCAAACGACTTCGAAATCTCTTGTAACTCTTCTGGATGGTGTTCTTATTTAAGTTTTTAAATACTGCCATAACCGATGCCTTCATTTCATCTTTGGTGTTACAAGGAGTTTTTTGGGTCTCTCGCTCAACTGCACCCCACACATAATAATCAAGGGCGTGTAGCATGGGGAGTTAGATGGTCAGATGCAAAGGGTGGTGTGGTCGTAGAAGTATTCTGACAGCCATCATTGCGTTCTCCCGTTTGTGAAGCATGGTTCAGAGTCCTGTTGCCAAACACAGGTTCTTCCAACAGCCACTCTCTGGAGACTGGGAAGCACTACCACCTCAAAGCACTTGATGTAGGTCTACGTGTTTAGTCTGAGGCCCTCACCAACAAATTCGGGAGTTCTTTTTTTTTTTAAAAAAAAGATCAGAGTAAGTTTTCCGAGCTGCCGTACATTCGTAATCACCATTAGACTCATCCAAACCTTTCCGAATCCTCTGCACTGTCCTCAGATTGGCACCCAAACATTCTGAAATGTTCACATTAGATATTCCGGCGCGGATAATACAGTATGCCATTTCCCAAATTCTGTCAAAGTTCATTGCCTCATGGTGCTCGTTTTCTCACTCCGAAGTTGACCAAATCAAATACAACGTGCATACACGAAATTAGCAATATAAAATGGCAACAATTTATCCATCCCAACGTGTACATTGGACATTCATCACTGATACTAGCGTACTGGTCAGCATCATAAATGCGATTGGATATGAATTTTGTGACGAAGATCCTGTTAATAATTGAGATGTACTCGTAAATTAGAGCTTATCGTTAGGAGAAGTGGGATTAGAGAGACAGTTCAAATTGATATTTTTTATTGTTTATTCTAAAGAGATGTCATGGGTTAAATAGCAGAGGGACTAGGCTTTCTGGTTTTGTATGCAAAGAAAGCTTTAGTTTGTAATTCAAAATCGTAGAGATGTTAACGGGAGACCACACCACTATCTTTTCCGATAAGTCATAGCAATTCTCAGCTAATAAAAGAAAAAGGAATTTGTGAAGATTCCTGATTGTCTACATGCTGATGGAACAAAGCATAGTACATGCATACAGATATATGTTTAGATAGATAGATAGATAGATAGATAGATAGATAGATAGATAGATAGATAGAAACAGATTAAAGTTAGATAGATAGATAGATAGATAGATAGATAGATAGATAGATAGATAGAAACAGATTATTAAGGTTAGATAGATAGATAGATAGATAGATAGATAGATAGATAGATAGATAGATAGAAACAGATTAAAGTTAGATAGATAGATAGATAGATAGATAGATAGATAGATAGATAGATAGATAGAAACAGATTAAGGTTAGATAGATAGATAGATAGGAACAAATTAAGGTTAGATAGATAGATAGATAGATAGATAGATAGATAGATAGAAACAGATTAAAGTTAGATAGATAGATAGATAGATAGATGAAACAGATTAAGGTTATAGATAGATAGATAGATAGATAGATAGATAGATAGATAGATCAAACTGGAAGAATGATATTAGTGTTTATTCTACATAACTGATATTAGTATTTTCACAAGGACAAATGTAGGTCAAAATTCAAAGAGATAAACGCTGTGTTAATGGTAATATCAAGTGCTTCCTTATAAAGAAACAATAAGCATCCATTCATTTCCGTTGGTTGAAATTTATAAAAAATTATTTTCGGTAGAAATAAAGAAAATACTCCTGAACTGCATACAAAAGTGGATGCTAAAAATTCGAGGCAAGATGGCTCGGTAAATTTGGCGCCCAATGGACATATTAAAAACAAAAGGAGCGGAAAGAAACACCAGTAACCAACCAAACTTGTGTAAATGAATGATGAAAAAGGGATTGGGAGTGATAGTAACGGACCAAAAATTGCTTAGAACAACAATGGATATGCTTCATTTTTTACGGCTTATCAACCCGTTACAGATTATTAAAAGCCCGAAAATATGTTTTGATTTTAAGATTTTATTTTAATTTTTGAAGATAATAATGATTTATCAATACACGTCTTTCTAATTAGGGTGGCGACATAGCTTTCCCAGAGGTATTTGCGCGTAGGTGAATATGACCAACGCAACGAGAACCGGAACTCGGCTCTCCGATTAACAATTTCGAGCCATTATCCATTATATCACTCTAAAATCCAAGCATACAGCATTTAGTATTCCCAAACGTTCTAAGGATTGTCAAGGCTCGACGTTGCTTAACTTCGGTGAATGTACAGGGAACTATTGTTTTAGCGTAACATGGCCGCAAAAGCCCTAAAAATTAAAGCTTATATTGATCTTGTAAATGCTTTAATTAGAACTCTATTGGATTTTCGCAAATGTTACTATTCAAGGATTTATGCTCGTTAGATAAGGGGGTCTGCCTAAGGTGCGAGCTGCGAACTAAAGACGAGAAATTACAAAGTCAGTTAGTCAGTTATGTGATACACGCGTAGGCGATCATGCATCTTTCGATATATGACTGACGAGGCAGATTTTTTCCTGCAGTAGTTTGCCATTTCTTCCTGTGGTAGACCAGTTGCCATCCATGGCTATAGAACCCAGTCTATCCTGCTATTTACCCATAGTTGGGAGAAGGATTCACACCTTTCCCAAGGCGTAAGTGAATATAATGGATTTGACTGGAATTCGAACTCGGCTCTCCGATTCCTCAATCCAAGCCGCTATCCATTACTCCACCGTGTTTAGAGAGTACACAAATTTAACTGTCTTGAAAGAAATTTAATTGTCAACGGAAAATGTGGCACAGAAATTCGAAGGCGCATTCGAATAGAAAAAGATAACTTCCAAAAGCTAAACTAAGTATTAAGAGACATGACATTTTCGTTAGAAACAAAGAAAACGCTGTGTAATATCAGTTCTCACATATAGAAGTGGATAGTGAACAATTTCTTCGTAAGAGAGATATGGTTCTATGAAATGATCCTGTGAATACAATGTACAGAGCGACGAGTTTTAAATAATATGGAGACAAGAAGAACAGTTGTAATTAGAATCAGAAAGATTTGAAAATATTTAGGAATGATGCAAGATGGCTTGAAGAATCTCACATTCACAGGACATATTGACCTAAATAGTTATAGAAGGAAGAAGCAGTGACCTATCAAACTTGCGTAAATGAATGGTAGAAAAAGGACAGGTCGTGATCAAAGACTTTTAAAACAACAATGGATAGAAAGTTGTGGAGAGCCATTATCTCCTCGGTCCTGAAAGAATACGGAGAACAAAGGAAGAAGTGTTTCATAGTATTTAAACTATTATTTTTTGGTTACTCCTGTCATTTGAAACAGTTTTCACGCATTTTCCATGCCATCCCCTTTTGGAACACTCCGTTTTTGCTATTAGTTATTTCAGCTTCTAGACGTAAGAGTGCATGGTGTAATGGTTAACAAGCTTGTGCTGCTAGATCAGTTAGGACTGGATAGTGAGTTTGCTTCTCACTAGATGCATCATACATTCAGCCTTGTATCGTAACTACGCTACATTTAGATAATCACTATACGCGCTTTCAAGATGGCCGCTTGATACGGAATTGTTGTAGGGATGCTGAGATTTTAAATGATTCCACGCTTATGTATATATGTAGCTCTAAATGAATGATAAAAATCGTTCTTCTGTTTCAGAAGGGTTTTTTTTTATATATGTGCATTGCTCTGATAGATTTTGTGAAATTTTAGGAGACAAACAGGCAAAGACTTATGGATATATGTAGCACAAAATAAATGATACAAAATCTCTCCTTTGATGCTGATTCAGAATGTTACTTTTATTGCTGCACGGGTTTTGCTCTCATAGCTTAAAAAATAAATTCAGGACACAAACAGGCGCTTATTTATATATGTAACTCTAAATGAATTATACAAAACTGTTCCTCTTACGCTGATTCAAAAGGTGTTTTTTTCATGTTTGACAGTTTTTGCTCTCATAGTATTTGAGAAAATACTGGAAACCGACAGACAAAGGATTATGCAGCTCTAAATGAATGATATATAACCTTTCCTCTGATGCTGATTCAGAATGTGAATGGTGTTTGCTCTCATAGCTTTAGAGAAAATTCAAGACACAAGCAGACGTTTTTGCATCTCTATCTATAAAATGCAGGATGTGTGTGTGTGTGTGTGTGTGTGTGTGTGTGTGTGTGTGTGTGTGTATGTAATTTTCGATGGATTTGCACCAAAATTTACATGCACATGCTCCAAGTTAGTGGAAGGCCAAGACCGACTTTGCATTCCCAACCCCATCGATAGTGGAAATAATCGATTTTTTCATGCTTCTACGGCAATTTTCATATTTGTTTGCGGCCATTTCTACTGGCCAAAGTGAGATCCTATAGCTTGGTGCCAGAAATAGGCAGGAAGATTCTATTGGCCAGCGTGAGAGCCAATAGCTGACTGACACGAATGTTAACTAGCATGCTAGCATGCAAAAAAAAATCGATCGCTGCATTCGTCACAAGTGGGAAAAATTTAAATCTGCATGGCACCTTACTCCAATTGGCTCATTCGTTTGCTTAAACTCAACATTGATTCTGATTCCGCAGAACTGGGTTGGGTGTGGAAAAGGATTTGTTGTTAACATTCTTTTTTCATTCGTTTTTTTTCAGTTACGAGTCCTTTTTTAAAGCTGATCGTTTTGTGTTCATTTTGTTTAGTTCTTTTTTCGTAACAGATTTAATGTTTAGTATAGAGCTTAGAAAAATTCGCAATGTGAAATAGGCAAGAAGTAAGGCATGTAGCAACATCAGCACGGAAAAGGGCACTCCTTTAAAGGCAAGGAAGGGCAAACATATATTAAGTCAAGTGATAGCGATTGCTGTATGAGTCTTACGATTTATGAATCAAGCACGGGCAACGCCGGGCCATGCTGCTAATATATATATATATATATATATATATATATATATATATATAGCTCTAAATGAATAATACAAAACCTTTCCTCTGATACTGCTTCAGAAGGTGCCTTTTACGGTTTTTGCTCCCATAGCTTTTGATAAAATTTGAGACAGAGACAGACAGACGTTTATATTAGAGGCACATTTATTGGTTACTGTCGATTTATTTTTGTCATTTCTTATATCAAACGCAACGTAATTTAATGTCTTATGTCGTGGTAGGAGGCGGGAAGGAGTTTCTTCTGATCTGATTTTTATATTCCATACTTATGTCCTACATACAGGACAATCTTCAAAGTCCGAGAGAATATGTAGCTCAAGAGTAATGAAATGGTAAGATGGTGGAAGCGTTTTGAAAGTCAGACAAAAAACCTACCCTTTAACCTGTAAATCCTCTCAATATATTGAGAACGGCTGTGGCTGTTTGAATAGCCAAAACAAACCTGTAGTGAAAGCGTAAAATTTAAGACAGTGAGGAATGCTTGTGCGCCCCGTCTAGAGAAGAATTGGTATCATATTTATCTTGGCCTGCACTGTTAAATAATAGTCTAGCAGACTTTTAAATCCTCTGATTTCCTCATTTTGACCTTAAGATCAAATGGTAGAAAAAAAACAAAGGAAGTCCTTTTTGATTGGTTAAAACTAGCGTGGGAAGATTAGAGAGATAGAAAGTTATTTTACGGAGTTAGGTTTTACATGTCATACACATTAGACGTGGCTATTTCGGGTCTTGGGGAAGTTGCTTAGCAGTGACTCTGATTGAGAGACCCCACTGGCTAGTTAAAAAATGTACACGTGGAGGTGTTTAATAAAGTAGTCAGTAAAATTCTCTTTTGTTGAAGTTCTCATTTTACCTCCAATCAAGCCAACTAGCGATCACCCGACCGGAAGAAAACAGAGAGAAGAAAGCAACATATGAGGGAAGGAAAACCGTCGCCCCAAAACTACCCCAGCACGAAGGGGTATACAACAGCGCTACACAATCTTCATTTTTCTTTGATAACTTTCAAAATTTTTTTACGCTGCGTCCAAACTTAATTTTTTCAAGCGAGTGACGCGTATACGTTTCATCGAGGACCATCCTTCTTTGAACCTCATGAACTGGCGCTACATGATCAAAACGTACTGTACATGAAAGCAAATTTTTATTAATTCGTTTTTTTTATGGCTTATCAACCTCTTACAGGTTATTTACAGCCATATTTTTTTTTTTAGTTTATAAATATGTTTTTAAAGATACTAGTGATTGATAGGAGCCCTACTTATTAACCCATAGCTGAGGTGAGAAGAAGTGGATTCATACTTTTCCTAGAACTTGACTGGAATTGGAACTCGGCTCCGATTTCCACATCCGAGCCGTTATCGATGACACCACCTGCACATAGAAGCTTACAGCACTCGGTATTCCAAAGCGGTTACCCATCCAGATACTGAACAGGCTCGAGGTTGCTTAACTTCGAGGATCGTACGAGGACCTGTACTTCACCGCGATATTTCCGTAAGCATAGAAAACAGTAACTTCGTCACTTGAGGATTCTCAACAGTTGCAACAACTAAAAAGTATAGCTCATTTATCTTGAAGAGATAATAACGACATAATGAATTTGTTTGACGTTCCACGCTACTTCAAACAAAAGTTTAGGAATGAATCCCTAATCAGTACTGAAAAGAGCGATAACAGTTACTTGATTGATAAACCTGTTTTTTGCTCAAAAATCGTTTGAACAGAATGATTTTATAAATTATAATTGAAGGCTATATCCGTCTGCTCAGAATTCAATATGGACGCACTTAAACCACCATGGAATCGAAACAACAACAATAGGTAACCTACTCATCGAAAACACGCATGTTATAGATACTTCCTCCAGTGTATAAAATAGAGTTTAAATGTACAAAGTAGCTCAGATAAGTCGAAAAAAGAATTAATTAATAATAAAAATAGCCTTTTTATATAACAAAGGAATATATTTCACTGAAAATTTGTACACAATTAGTGACATTTTCAAGGTACAAAAATCATACGATGTGGCCACTATGGGTTGCCATGAGTGTCTCCAGGCGGAACCGGAAACTGATGCATGTCTCGGCGATAGTGTCCATATCTATGTCTACTATGGCGTCCCTGATGGCTGTCTTTATGTTGTAAGGCCTTCTGTTCAGCTCCCTTTCCAAGACTCCCCACGCAAAATAGTCGAGATAATTGTAGTCCGGCGATCAGCGGTATGGTGAGCAAGTGATGCCTCTTGAGCACATAAGATTTATAATTCATCTCTGACAATACGCTTCGAATGCTCGTGCCCATTTACTTGTTCATTTTCCTTATTCTTTGCTGCTGTTATCCTTGACGACTTCGGCAACGTCGGCGACGAACTCGAATTTCCTGGTGATGCCCGAACGCTTCTTATGTGTTTTGCGTTCTGGTTTCAAACTGTCCTTGTCATATGAGGCCCCACGTGCCTTTGCAAGATCGTAGACCACAGTATTAGGTCATTTAAACCATTCAGCGATTGGCTTAGCTTTGTGCCCGTTGTCATACAAGAAATTCCGAGTGGATTTTCGCTACACTGTAATATATACTATTATTATAAGACACAGCAGCATTCGCCTAAAAAAATTAGACGCTACCTCTCTCCGATCATTGCTCCATACGGACACATTTAAACCACCATGGAATCGTACCATCGTAACATACACATCATGAACACGCATGGGATAATAATCTCTAATATAAAAAGCGTAATAGATGCCCTTATTATAATAAACATAAAACAGCCTGCCATATCATGAACACGGCCACTATGTACTGACCGTATTTTAAATTGGTAAAGCTATTTTATACTATCTAGTGGACACTTTCCTGTGCTTATTTCACCAGTTTTAACCTGCGAGTTCCAGTCTAAACCACTGCAAGATGAATCGGTTGGTGGATCATTCCACTAATTCAGTATTCACAGAGTATCTGCTTGGGGCTGTCTGGACATACAGACACCTACATAGATGCACACGCCTTCTTGTGCTCATATAAATGTTCACAGTGAGGTTTCACCTGCAGCCAGTATCTTTAATGTTCTCATGATATCGCCCTCTCCGAAGAAGAATTAGTTCCGTCGAACGAAGATTAAACTAAGCCGATTAACGGGAGACATATCAAAGATGTTCCATTTGACGGATCACTGAGTTGTAAGTGCTGGGTTAGTCGGGAGCAGGACGACTTGTGAATAAATATATCGATAACAAAATGGGTATAATGAATTGTTTTTCCCTTTTCAAGAGAGCATAGGGAGTCAGTGGTCAAGAGTGATATTAAGTAAAAGACCACACGGAGAAAGAAGATACTGCGAAAAGGTGACATAGAATAAGTTTAAAGTACAAAAAGTTTAAAACATCAAAGGAGAAAGAGAGAAAAATGAAGGGAAATTAAGTTTAAGAAGTCTTCAAGATGAAGAGGAAAACAGCGAAGAAAGAAAATAAAGATGTGGAAAAAGAAACAGAGATAAAAAATGGCGAAAATAGATGTAAAGAAATGGGGGGGGGAGATGCAATAGTTGTCGAGCTGCAAGAAGTATATGAAAGAGTTCAATGAGAATGTTTAAAACGAAAGAGAAAAAGAAAAAGAAGAAAAGAAATGAGGACGAGGGGAGTAAAGAGAAGAAGAAGAGATGAATAGAAAGCAAAGAAAAAGAAAGAAAGAAATGCTTAGATAAAAAAAAATAACATGAAATGTGAGAATTAGTAGAAGAAAACAAGCAAGCAAGCGAGGGAGGGAGAAAGAAAGAAAGAAAGAAAGAAAGAAAGAAAGAAAGAAAGAAAGAAAGAAAGGGAGTATAAAAAGAGGAAGAAGAGTGTTGAAACGATGGTAAAAACAAGGGAAGATAATTTTTGAGAACACTAGGAAGAACATTGAAAAAGAAAGCATACGAAAGAAGGAGAATAAGACTAGGAGGAGGAGGAGGAGAAGAAGAAAAGAAGAAGAAGAAGGTAAGAATCGAAAATAAAAATAAAAAATCAAATAGCTAAAATGAACCAGGCAGAAAAAAAAAACAAGAAAGAAAGAGAAAATAAAAATATAAACGTTTAGAAATACTACTATTAATAATAATAATAATAGAAATAATAATAATAATAATAATAATAATAATAATAATAATAATAATAATGGGAGAAGAACGAAAAAGAAGAAAAAAGTAAGAATCGAAAGCAATTAATAAAACCAGGTATGTAAAATTGGTCCAGAAAGAAGAAAGAAACAAAGAAAGAAGGAAAGAAGAAAGAAACAAAGAAAGAAAGAAAGAAGAAAGAAACAAAGAAAGAAAAGGCAAAGAAAAAATGAAAAAACTAACGGTTTAGAAACAACAACAACAACAACAACAACAACAATAATAATAATAATAATAATAATAATTATTATTATTATTATTATTATTATTATTATTATTATTATTATTATAGTTGCAGCGAATGATGACGATTAAAGAGAAGTGAAAGAAAGACGAGAAGCAAAGAAAGAAAACTATGTCGAAGAAGTAAGAATATTAGAAAAATGAGTGTATGGAGTGCAGAAAGAAAGAAAGAAAGAAAGAAAGAAAGAAAGAAAGAAAAGCGGAGAAAATAATAAACGATTGAAATAAAAGTTTATGTAAAATGTACAAGAAAGAAAGAAAAGAAGAAGAGGAAGAAGAAGAAGAGACAAACGAAAAAAAAAGATTAAAAAAGAAAGAATGAGGTGAAAAATGATAAGAAAAGGGCGAAAAAGAAATAGAGTAAAAGAAAAAGAGTGAGAGAAAGAACTGGAAGCGGAATTGACGAGAGAATTTAATCCTTTCTAATTCATGCAAGTAGCTTATTGAGTGGTTGGTCTCAGTCATTGGCGAAGTTTTGGTGCTGGCCGACAACCGTGTTGACATGTGTGTCAAGCGGTCATGTTCACCGAGATTCAAGTCATCTCGACTATCAACAAGATGATGGCGTACATTTTGCAAGATTTCACCGCACACGACTTGTTTCGCTGAGATTGCTTTTCACTACATCTGTCCTGCGATTTGTAACCACTTTTGAAAAATATGAGGATTTACGCTAGATCCAGACGCGTTGATATTAATAAAAAAAATCATCATTTTATTTAATTGAACTTATGTTTTGACTGGCCAGAAGGAAATCAAGACATATAATACCAGATTTTGAAAAGCAAATTATTTAAAGATTACCGCTTACAGTGTTTATACTTACTGTATCACTAAATCGTTGTCCTGATCTTTACTGCGACATTCACAACGCTTTGGCCGTTGTACGCTCCGGGCTTCTTCAGGATATGTCCCTATATTTGAAATGAGGTATTTAAATATTTACCCTATTTACATTGTTCGGACTGTTGTCCTCATCTTTATTGCCACATTCGCGACGTTTTGGCCGTTGCACCCTGCGGTCTTCTTCAGGATCTGTCTATATTTCTGAGATGAGGTATTGTAACTATTTACCCTATTTACATTGTTCCGACTATTGGCCTCATCTTTATTGCCATATTTATGACGTTTTGGCCGTTGTACATTCCGGTCTTCTTCAGGATCTCTCTATATTTCTGAGATGAGGTATTGTAACTATTTACATTATTTACATTGTTCGGATTGTCCTAATCTTTATCGCTACATTCACGACGTTTTCGCCGTTGTACGTTCCGTTATATGCCCCAGTTTTCTTCATATACAGAGAAAAAGGAGAGATCACTCACTCTGTGGGATGAGGTTGAAATAATAAACAAAGGACATCACTAGAAAATACGAAAACTTAAAGAATCAGAACATATGCTAAGCCACAAAAATCTCCTAAGCCGGCCAAACATAGGCCTGACTACAATATGGGGACCAGTAATAAAGAGTTCTAGAGAAAAACTACAATGACAATATATTGCAATATGAGCTCTGATAAAAAAAAGGTTACAGAGATATTAGGTTTATGATCCCAAAAAGTAATTCCCTGTTGTACCCAAGGACACATGGCTCGTCAGTTGAAGTAATCCAATGATTTGATCCAAAGAGATATGAATTCAATACCTGGCCACAGCAGTGGTGAAAATACTTGGAGAGTTGAGAAAAATAAATAAAGGGAAAGAGCTGAAATTGAGGTATCTAGAAGTGTCACGGCACGTGGAACTAGACCAATTTACTCCAGTTGACTAAATAAAGAATTCGGTTCGAAATTCAAATATATATCACCCAAAGAAGACCGGAGCCTACAGCGACCGAAGTGTCGTGAATATGAAAGTAAAACATGAAGGTCAACAGTCTGAACAAGGAAAACGTTTTATTATTTTGTTTTTTGCTTCAACTGCAGATAAAATGTATTGTTGGTCATTTTGCTATAAAATGTATTGTTGGTCATTTTACTATGAATTTTATTGTTGGTCATTTTGCTATAAAATGTATTATTGGTCATTTTGCTATAAAATATATTGCTAGTCATTTTGTTATAAAATGTATTGTTGGTCATTTTACTATGAAATGTATTGCTGGTCATTTTGCTATAAAATAGTATTGTTGGTCATTTTGATATAAAATGTATTGTTGGTCATTTTGCTATAAAATGTATTGTTGGTCATTTTGCTATAAAATAGTATTGTTGGTCATTTTGATATAAAATAGTATTGTTGGTCATTTTGATATAAAATGTATTGTTGGTCATTTTGCTATAAAATAGTATTGTTGGTCATTTTGATATAAAATGTATTGTTGGTCATTTTGCTATAAAATAGTATTGTTGGTCATTTTGATATAAAATAGTATTGTTGGTCATTTTGATATAAAATGTATTGTTGGTCATTTTGCTATAAAATAGTATTGTTGGTCATTTTGATATAAAATGTATTGTTGGTCATTTTGCTATAAAATAGTATTGTTGGTCATTTTGATATAAAATGTATTGTTGGTCATTTTGCTATGAAATAGTATTGTTGGTCATTTTGATATAAAATGTATTGCTGGTCATTTTGCTATAAAATGTATTGTTGGTAATTCTACTCTAAATATGTACCAATGGTATTTTGACACAATAATGTAGTGCTGGTATTTTCCTAACAAAAATGTATTTTTATACTCTCATCATGTTTTGGGTGGCTTCACTATTCAGCCATAGCTGGGACCCATACAGGTGCTACCATCCCGGGTTAGGGTGGATCTGTGAACAACAACAGTTAAGAGGTGCTTCCAAAAGCCAAATTCTCTTAATCAGAGGATTGCTGCCGGATGTAGTTTATCGTCATACTCAACATTATAAGAAAATGACTCTCTTACTTCATATCAGAATGAGTCGTCTTAAATTTCTAGGGCACATAATGAGGAAATATGGCTTGGAAAATTTGATACTCACGGGGCATATCGAAGGTAAAGAGGGACAGAGGAAAACAGCGCATAACATACTTGATGAGCTTAAGTAAATGGATGTGATTACGGATTGTTTTAGGGTCATAGTTTTATAAACACCCCTCGCGGTAAAAAAAGAAGGAAACTTCGGGGGTGAAATCGGCATATTCAAAGATGAATATTAGGACGTTGACAATCACGGCTCTCCACAATCTCCTTTCTAGCACTTGATATATTTTGTCTTGTTATCTATCCTAAACCTTGTTCCGTCATCCATTTCGCTATGTAGGTTATCTACATAGCGAACTTAGACGAAATCTTGTTTTTCCTCTATCCCTATTGCCTTCAATCTGTACTCTGAGTATCAAATTTTCCAAGCCCTCTTTCCTCATTATGTGCCCTGTTTCTTCCGGGATATCACCACTGTTGTATATTTCATTTATTATAATCTTGTCAGTGCTGAAGTCATGTCTATTGACAATTTCGTCTGACGTCACTGCTTTGTTTCTGTTCAATTTGACAGTGCTAATCCCATTTCTAATTTTAATATTTCGGATAAATCTTTATTTCTGTGTATATTCTATTTTGTCGCGGGAGATTTTTCCGATGTATTTTTGAAGTATTTTTTTCATTCTCTCATGTCAGTGTCCCGTCTTTGGATTTTATTCATATTGTTGATGAAGATTTTTCGTTGAGTCATTCCTGTTTCGGCTGCTTGTATTTCTTCCTGTTTTCTTTGCCCAGAGTCCTATTTTCTGACCTGTTCCTTGGCATTGTCTTTTATTTATCTCCTCTTCATCGTGTCAAGAAATCCATGTGCCATTTTAAGCTTCTCTTCATGCGTCCCACTTTGAAATCTGATTTTGTCCATTGTATTTGCTTTTAACACTGTCCATATATTAGGTTAGGAAAGGAATCCCTAATCAGTACTGGAAAGAGCGATAACAGTTACTTGATTGATAAACCTGTTTTTGCTCAAAAATTGTTTTAACAGAATGATTTTATTAATTATAAGTGAAGGCTATATCTGTCCGCTCAGAATTCAATATGGACGCACTTAAACCATCATGGAGTCAAAACAACCACAATAGTTAACATACTCACCGAGAACACGTTATGTTATACGGGCCTCCTCCAATGTAGAAAAGCGTTTAGATGTACAGTGTAGCTCAGATCAGTCGAGAAAAAAATTAATGAATAAAAATTTTTATATAACAAAGGAATATATTTCAATGAAAATTTATGCACAATTAGTGACATATACAAGGTACAAAATCACACGATGTGGCCATTATGAACAGCCATCACTTTCTTCAAGCGGAACCGTAAACCGATGCATGTCTTGGCGTCAGCAGCAAAAGAATGAGGAAAATCAACAAGTAAATGGGCACCAGCATTCGAAGCGTATTGTCAGAGATGAATTGAATTATAAATCTTATGTGCTCAAGAGGCACCACTTGCTCACCATATAGCTGATCGCCGGAATACAATTATCTCGACTATTTTGCGTGAAGAGTCTTGGAAAGGGAGCAGAACAGCAGGCCCTAAACATTAATGCAGCCATCAGGGACGCCATAGTAGACGTCACTTTCGGGTCATTCAGAGTCTTTCATATTGCAGTTTTGGTGCTAAATTTCCGTAGTTTCACTATAAGTTTACATGTCACTGGAAGATGGTCACTCAAGCAGTCGACATTAGCATATGTTTTGGTGTATGTAAACTGCATTCCTGAATCGCTTATTTATAGCTATATAATCGATTTGGTTTTTCGTTTCTCCTCTTGGGTTTTTCCTTGTCTATATAAAACTTTACTTGAAACCATATTTTGGTTACTGCCTGATCGTTCACCAGTGGTCCCATATTTCTTGCGTAACGATAAACTCGTTATTGGAATTTTCGATCGCGAAATTGGTATATTCAACGATAAAAGCTACGTTTTATTACGCATACACATATATAGGGGCTTGCTCTCTTTCGCTCACACTTTTTCACATAAACAAAAGAAAGAAAGAAATAGTAAGTATTAGAAGAAGAGGAAGAAGACAAAAAAGAAGCTAGTGAGTATATTAAAGGCAAGGAAAGTAATGATGTAAAGTTGAATAAAGAAAACAAAGAATGAGTGTGAGTATGAAGATCAGGTGTATAGAAACGAGATAGCAGTAGAAGTAGAAGTAGAAGAAGATAAAGAAAATTAAAAGTGAGAGAGAAAGAAGAAGAAAAATAAGAAGAAGAAAGAAAAAAGAGGAAGTAGATAAGGCGAAATGTGAAAAGAAAAAAGAAAAGCAAAGGAACAAGAAGAAGCAAAGGAACAAGAACGGAAGGGGGAGGAGGAGGAAACAGATGAACGAGAAGAGGAAAAAGAACAACGACAAGAAGAAGAAGAAGAAGAAGAAGAAGAAGAAGAAGAAGAAATAATATTAAAATCAATGTGAGTAAGAAGACGAGATGTAAATAAACTAGACAGTAGTAATAGAAGAAAAAGAAAACCAAGAATTTACGAGAGGAAAAGACAAGAAGAAGAAACGATTAAATTAGAGAGTAGCCGTAGAAAAAAGGACAGGAAAACGAATATATGAGAGAAGATAAACGGAAAAAAACGTAAAAGAAGATAAAGAAAATGAAAAAGAAAGAGAGAAAGAAGAAAGAATAAAGAAGAAGCAAATAAAGCGAAATATGAAAAAGGAAAGAGGAAAGCAAAAAAGATACAGAAAATAAAACACGGTTATATAGACGAAGAAGAAGAAGTTGCAGTGGAAAGTGAAGAAGGAAGATTTGTAAGATAAAAGAGTTCTTCCTATGATGAAATAAATTCATGGTGAACATTGTATCGATTCTAAAGACACTGACTTTGACTAATCAAGTCGTGTTTGAGTCGGATTATGACGTTTAAAAATCTGTTGCTCAAAACGGTTATTTTTTCTGTTGTAATCTTATATTAAAAAAGATGTGCATGCATTTTAGTGAACACGCTGTATTTCCCTTAGCGTCCAACTATTCAATCAAACACAAATGAAAATTTGCTACAAGCACGACCAACTGGGAATATTCCGTTGAAAACTGTGCTCTTGCATCTGAAACATGTGTTGCGTTTAATCGATAAAAAAAAAACTGTTAGTATTCAGGTAATTTTTTTCCCTTTCCCTATTTCTTTCAAAAATAATTTCATTTGTGTGTAGGAATATCTGGAGCCGCTCCCTTTAACTCTTGTAAAATCTGTCATGTTTTTATAAATAAAATGTTTGAGTCTGTTCTACGAGTTTCGTTTTGGTAGCGTCTTTTAGTTTAAGGATTCCAGGTATTTACTAAACAAATTCCAGTGTCTAAAATCATTTGCCTTAATTCAAAGATCGGATTTCATTGGCTGTAACAACGTTTCTGCGTGCCTGCTAATCTTGGGTATTAACAGCAGAATTAAAATTGAAGAATTCATGCATTGGAAGTGCTTCATAAGCATTGAGGCATCACCTACAGTGTCCGCCTTATGAATAACGCATTGATACACTATCAAACAAGAATCAGACCTATTCGAAGACCACGTAATCACCTTTAAAATGTGAATGTTGAAATGGTATCGGCACATCATAAGAGCCAACGAAAATGATATGTGTCACTTTTTCTTTGGCTATCGTGGAATTAGGCAAGGACATTTTTTGTGATGTCAACGAACACTCGTTGGCACTTTTGTTATGCCAACGAATATTCGGTGTCATTTTCATAATGCTCGTTGTAGTAGAGACTTTATAATCGCAGATACAACTATAGTAACGCCTTTGAACAATACTGGGGTCAGACGCCATCGAATAACATTCGTCCTAATAGTACTTGCTCTATAATACTCGCTGGAATAGTAATCTGTATAGTGGAATAGTATAGATATTAACGTTGAGTATAGTATTAGAAAATGGAGTAGAAATGGTGATCCGAATAGTGACAGAGGATAGAATAGAAATAACGATCCGTAAAGTAATAGAGGATAGGCTAAAAAATGCGATCGTTAGTCGTCAGCTACTTCTTACATATATACGTTTCCTCTATGATCACATAGTCTACTTAATTTAATAACGGGATCGCCTGTGTGTGCTCACTGGCGATCTATGTTCAAACTCAAGTGTTGGCAGCGACACTTTATTCCTATATAACACATTCTTAACAGAATTAGCTATGTAAATGACACAATGTCGATAGAAAACCACAGAATTGAATATACAATGACTCCTGCAGAAGGTAATTAAAGTAAGCAAAAAGGGATGAACATTAATTGCAAGAAAGAATGTATGGTTTTCAGCAAAAAAGACACCCTGACATGTGAATTACAGATTGCAGATACCAATCATCCTTCAGCCTGATGACATGGCCAGCTCATCTGGATTGTGATTGCATCAGAATGGATTTGATACAAATAGGATTCGTTTTTATATATATATATATATATATATATATATATATATATATATATATATATATATATATATATCGATCTAGGGAATCAAAGAATACATTAAGAGGCCAACAATCAGCTAGTTGACAAAAAAACGTACAAAAGCTTACGTGCTGACCCTCTTCCTGAATACCAAAACGAATTAACTAGCTCACTAAACATAATGCTTCGCAACGATCTAATCGACAAGGAAACATGCAAAACACTTACACCCACAAACATCACCCCTGCTCGCTTGTATCTCATTCCCAAAATACACAAAACAAACAACTCAGAAAGCCGGTCATTTCATCATTCAAATGTCAGACGATATAATTTTCCAAATACGTACACCATTACATACAGCCCCTAGCTAAGGAAATAAAATCCTACATCAGAGACACAACAGATCTTCTAAACAAAATTAATCACATACAAACAGTGCCAGAGAATGCTATTCTAGTGACTATGGACGTAAGGTCACTGTGTTCAAACATTAAACACATCGAATGGCTAACCGCTCTTCAAGAAGCACTTATTGAAAGAAGAAAACAAGACCCCCCCACACACACACAGAAGTTATCATTAAACTCATGGAGCGTGTTCTTCATTGAATACTTTCAACTTCAATGGAGCACATTACCTGTAAGTAAGGGGCTGTGCCATGGGCACCATAGCAACTCCATCGTATGCTACAATATTCATGGGAAATTTTGAGGAGACCCATATCTATCCCCTCATTGGTAGCAACTGCGTATTCTATGCAAGATATATCGATGATATATTCTTTGTATACACGGGCAGTGACGTCAAACTTACCCAATTCCTCATGACCCTAAACACAGTACACGACTCAATTAAGTTTGACTATGAAACTTCCACAAGATCAGTAACATTTTTAGACACCCACATTTACATAGATGAAAACAGAAAACTAGAAACGACACTACGCACTAAAATCACCGACACCCACAACTATCTACACTTTAAGTCTTCCCTCCCTAAACACCTTAAAGAGAACCTTCCCTATTCACAAGCACTTAGGCTCAAAAGGATATGTTCCAGCAATGAAGAACTAAATAAACACACTCAAAATCTAGAGCATCAATTCACAACACGTGGCTATAAACAATACCTAATCAGGGAACAAATAAATAAGGTAATTCCCACACCTCGAGAAGATCCCCTAATGTACAAGAATAAAAATATATCTAGAAGGCATCCCTCTAGTAACCACTTTCAACCCCACTCTGCCTTCACTACCCCAAATAATGAAAAGTCGCTGGGAAATAATACATCTCAAACCAGACCTAAAAAAATTGTTTGAGGAACCCGGCCTTCTAGCATATCGTAAACCTAAGAACCTTAAGGAAATTATAGATAATAAACATATTTCAGAGGCTAGGTTAATCTGTTATCTTGTAGGTCATTCATGATTTAGATCTTCATTGGGTATCCCACACATGCTGTATTGTCCTAAATCAGAGTAAATCGATATTATTAAAAACTAAATTGTGGCATGAAAGGCAAAGTAACAGAAATCACCCAGACTAATTTTTTCCAGCTAGTATATTGAATAGAATTAGTTAATCTATGAAAGAAAATGGTAAAGGCACATCTGACTAAAATGTGGTTTCGAAGACAGGGGGAATGCGAGATTATTTCTTGAAGAGAGCTAGATTTTCTTTGAAAAGACTTTCAATGATCTAGTCCGGTAAACGTTAATATCACTGTTTTTCAATAAGTAAAAAAATCAACTCAAAGGCGTATAGCCACTAAAATAAGGTTTATAGCAATAAGAAACGATGTCAGATTTTTAAAAGAAATATATTAATTGCTCACGTGGCTCTTATGTTTCATATATGAAAATATAAGTTATATAGTCATCGAGGTGTCCCAACGAGAATGTTAATTTCTTTAAAAATGGTATGTAAGAGTTGCTTTGCTGAAAGGACATCCGTGGCCAAAAAGTTAAAGGGTGCCTGGTTAAAATTAAATTCTTCTCTATTTTATAATCTCTACTTAGATCGGGGTTATCTTTTGTGACGTTTAAGATTTCATTTTAAATTGATGAAGGAAAAGACATTCTTCGCTATATCAAGTAGAATAACACCGGATTTGAAACCAAAACCAGACAATGATTCTGAAACAGAAAGTGTTCTTCATTTTGAATAGTGTTTACTATTTAAAGAAGAATCGGCAATTTTAACCATTCTAAATTTCTATGTCGCTTTCAATCGCGTTCCTATCGCCGTAACGTTCTCTCCCGTTACTTTTCTACAAATATTGTTTATAGTATTTGATCTGATAACATTTCACGAATTTAAGCGGAGTACTATATTGCCAAATAGTTCTTATCATTTTACTGGTGAAATAGCTAGATGTAACCGTAGCTTCTAGTGTAGTAGTTTATTCTCTCGCACTTCTCCCTTGCGGAAATCTTCTTAAGTTTACCAGTTCAATAGGATTTTCAAACTTTTAATTCCACGTCAGTTGCCATATTCTGTCTTTTTGAATCCCGTTCCTTTTTGTTATAATGGAATGTCCCACATTTCATATCGCCTTTGTGGACTGACTATATGAGTAGCTATATACATAGTGAGTACAGGATATACTTGGGGGCTTGCTTCGGCAATTAGTCGGAGATTCGCCTCCAGCTGTACTGGTGGAACTCTCTGCCTTCGGGCGGAGAGGAACCCACACAAGGCTATGTCGAAGGACAGAGTCTCGTCTGGGGTGGTAGACAGCTACCCGAACAGGATCTACGGGGAATTTTTGCCCGAGCCTACGCGCTCGGATACCCCACTTTAATTTCGACCTTGTGCCACATCTGACCGCTTGGCAAATATCCTTGCTTCGGCAATTAGCTGTTTGTCGAACTCTCTGCTCGAAGGTAGAGAGGAACCAAGAAGAGCCTATGCCGAAAGGAAGAGTCTCGTCTTGGTTGGTAGACAGCTATCCGACCCCGTGTATACGTGGTCTACGGGGAATTTTTGCCCGAGCCGATGAGCTCGGTTTCACCCCGCATGAAAAAAGGCCTTGTGCCACATCCTGTCATGCGGGGAGGTAAGGTAAATAACCTTGCTTCGGCAAGTAGTTGGAGATTCGCCTGCAGCTGTACTGGTGGAACTGTCTGCTTTCATGTAGAGAAGAACCCAGGCGAAGCTATGCCAAAGGGCAGAGTCTCATCTGGGGTGGTAGACGGCTACGCGACCCTGTTTTAACCCCGCATTAAAAACGGCCTTGTGTCACATCCATCCACACGGTAGTGGGGGGGTGCGTAGTAAGGTAAATATCCTTGCTTCGGGAATTACTAGCCCGATTCCCTGTCTTTTAGTAGTATTCTCTTTTTTACAATAAACGTCTCTTCTTTCATCTACGCGCGTGTTGCTGTTCC